CTTGTCAGTAACTTTGAAAGAGCAAGAGCAGGCTTAAGGTCTCTGACCTTCAGTCAGGGTAAAGCAGACCTACTTCTGTGGGCCCCCACAGCTATAGTCACCTGAGAGATTTCCTCAACTGAGAAAATGCCTCTATATGATCAGGCTGTAGCCAGGCAGTGGTGGTGGCACATGCCTTTAATCCCAGCATTTAGGAGCCAGAGGCAGATGGATTGCTGTGAGTTCAAGGTCTGCTTGGTCTACAAAGTAAGTTCCAGGACAACCAGGGCTGTTACACAGAGATACCCTATCTCAAAAAAACAAAAACCAACCTCCAACCCTGAAAAAATGAATCAGACTATAAGTAAGCCTGTAGGGCATTTTCTTAATTAGTGATCTATGGGGGAGGTTCCAACCCATTGTGGGTGGTGCCATACCTGGACTGGTGGTCCAGGGATGTTGCTGGTTGTTTTTGAACTCTTCAACTTTTTGACTCTTTGACCCAGGTCCCAAGTAGATACACACAGAGTCTTACTATTTATGAATGCCCGGCCTGAGCTTGGCTTGTCATACTTAGCTGCAAGAGAAGCTGGCAATGGAATCTATGTGGGAAGTCATCCATCCAGAAAGAAAGAGAGAATAGACATAAGTTCAAATCCATTGCTTCCCATTGGTCACATTGTTGATAACAACTAAGCCTCTTTCTGCTTCACTTTGTTGACCTAGTAGCAGTTTTCTCCTATTAGACACTCTCATTCTGGGATTATTTCCTAGGTAGCTTCTATGTTCCAGGGGCTATTGTCTGATCTGGTGAGCTAGCTGTGAACAGATCATGCTGCTAACTCTGGAATCAGACGCACTGCACTGCGAGACTGCTGAGAAACTGTGCAAGAATCTTTTCTCCCTATTCTCAGCTAATATTCATTTTAATGTCTCATTGTTTTTTTTCAACTTTTGTTTTGTTTTGTTTTGTTTGTTTTTTGAGACAGGGTTTCTCTGTGTATCCCTGTCTGTCCTAGAACTAGCTCTGTAGACCAGGCTGACCTTGAACTCAGAGCGCCACCTGCCTCTGCCTCCATCCGAATGTCACCAACACCCCGGCAAATTCTTTTTTCTTTAAAAACACCCTTGGATTTAAATGTGCTTCAAGGCACAGAAAACCAATTTTCATAGAGCACACATCTTAGTTTGGTTAGAAGAAAAACCCTAAGATACATATACATCAAATAGTGAAAGTATTGATACAAAATACAGACAAGGTCAAAAGACAGAGATATGTGTGTTCATGTGTATGTATGTATTTGTGTGTTTGTGCGTGCGCGCTTGTGTGCATGCACATGCATGCATATGTACACCTGCAGGTAGAGTTCAGAAGTTGATACCACCTGTCTTCTTCAATCTGTCTCCACTTGCTTGCTTTGTTTATTTATTTGTTTGTTTGTTTGTTTGGGGGTCAGGGTTTCTCACAGGATCCAGAGTTCACCAGTTTGGATAGACGGCTGGCTAATAAACTCTAGCGATCCCCCTGTGTCTGCCTCTCTGACATTGGGATACAGGCACCTGCCACACCTAGTTTTAAAAAAATATTTTTAAAATGTATATGTGTATGGGCATTTTGCCTGCATGTATGTTTGTGAACCACATGTGTGCAGTGCCTGCAGAAGCCAGAAAAGGACACTGAACCCTGGCATTGTGTGGGAATCGAACCCATGTCTTCTGGAAGAATAACTGATGTTCTTAATTACTGAGCCATCTCTCCAGCTTGTTATGTTGTTTGTTTTCATCTATCTTTTTTTTTTTTTGAGATATGTTCTCTCTATGTAGTCCTGGCTGTCCTGGAGCTCTCTATGTAGACTAGGCTGACCTCAAACTCACAGAGATCTACTTGCCTCTGCCTCCTAAGTGCTGGGATTAAATGTGAACACCACTATGCCTGGTTCATTTTGTTTTGAAATATGGGTACTAGGGGACCAAACTCAGGTCTTCTTGCTTATGCAGCAAGCACTTTGCTGACTGAGCCATCTTCCCAGCCCTGACACTGGTCCTCTTTAAGCTGTTCAGTTGGAAACCCTTTCTAAGGGCAGTATTATGTGAGCAGAAATGGGATGAAGGGAGGAGCTTCTAGTTTCTGCTGCTGTGAGGATGACTGTGATTCACATCCCTGCGCATAGATCTTCGTGTATGCTTCTGATTAGTTCTTTGAATCTATTTCTGGTGTGGAGTTCATGAGTCAGAAAAACAGATGTTTTAGGGGTCTCGAGATAATGTGCTGAAGTCTCTATTGAACCTTCTCAGAAGAGTGGAAAAAGAAGCAATTAACAGAAACCTCAATTTTAAGGCATTTTCGGTGTCCACTTAACCTTTTGCAATGTCAGAAGATGCTAGAGATTTCATGGTTTTATACCAGTCTGTCTGAGCCTGGCTGTGCCCAACATCCTATCTAGTTCTTTTTGTCTCCACATCCTTCCAAGCCATTCTTCATGCTGGAGCTGAATTAGGCCTTGGAATATTAGTGCAGGAAAGGACCTTGGTGCTGGGGACGCAGCCCTGCCGCTCCTATTACAACAAATGGCGCCCAGACGTGTGGACAACTGAATCCACTGAAAGCCTGAGACAGCTTGGGAAGTAATTCTAGAACAAAATGACAGCATTTTACATGGTTTTTTGGTAGCAGCACTCTCTCGGGTCTACTCTGCTTGCTAGAGGCAAGCAAGCACTCTCATCTAAGAGAGGCTTCCTGACTCAGCTTTAGCTGCAAAACCCTGAAGCTCTTAAGAGGTCCTGCTACGAAACACTTAAACGGTGTTGACAAAAAGCTGAACTCATGCTTTTCGGTTTTCAGCCGTAGCAGGAAAATAGCTGAGCCATTTTAAAATGCTGGCATTGTGGGCCGTCCTGCCAGGGCAAACTCTGACTGTTTGAGGCAGGAGGGCCGACTACAGAGAGAGGACTTGTGTGTTGTCTGTGGACATAATGTTGTAGCTTGTTTGCTGGCAGGGACCTTGAAACGCCATAGAGTTGTGGCGGTAAACATGGCTACAACCAGTACCTCAGCCATGGGGCTGGAAAGCTAAAGAATGGACTGGATCCAGCTGTCAAAGCCACAGGTTTAGTCCTACTGATATTACTTGCTAAATTAGAGAGACATTTACAGTAAAAGAAAGATTTAAAGTCAAAGAAAATGTTTAAATGATTTCAAGTGTGTTGAAAATATATGCAGAGTAAAAGTTAAAGTTCTTAAAGTAAAAAACAAAAAAAAGGAAGAAAGAGAG